TTCCAACATTAATGGTGATTGGTATACATGAAATAAAGGTTAATTTTAATTTTATCCTTTTATCACCCCACTTGTAGTATTTCAGTCTGTTTCCCAGGTCTTCCCATCCAAATCCCAAGTCAACTGTTGCCAACATTAGTCTGCGCACAATTGCACTTTTCTTTTTTATTGATTAGAATACATGAAATAAAAGTTAATTTTAATTGTATTAGCTGTTCAATAAAAATTATATCGGTGTTATTAGAGTTAAAAATGAAATTAATTTGTATATATTTTTTTATATAAATTAATAGAAAAATTCCAACCCTAAAATGAAAGAATACATTCCGTTTTCCAGTCAGAGAATTACATAAAGAGAGAACTTAGCTCTCTCTGGGTATTCCTATTCCTATTTCGTTGTCTTTGTTCAGAGGAGTCTTTCCTTCCAAATAGACCACTTTGTGGTTGATTTTTTTTTTTTTAATGGTGAAGGTGTTATTATCTCAATTTTTTGTGTAATTCAAAATTAATCCTACTCTCAATGATCTTAGTGTTAAATGGGAAAATCCCATATCGAGTATAAAAATAAGAAATTTGTGGGTTAAATACAAGGAGGGTTACTCCACCTATTGCCAATTGGTTTTAGGTTGAATGCAAGCCTTGTGTTGAGCCCACATGAAGGATTTTTAATATGGTATCAGAGCTCAGGTTCTACCATGTGAAGCTCATTGTTAGCCCACCTGACAGGACCCGAAGTTGATATCGGGCCTGCATTTAAGGAGGCGTGGTAACCCACGTGACAGGATCCGACATTCATAGCGGGCCTGCATGTGAGGGGGCGTGTTAAATGGAAAAATCTCACATCGAATATAAAAATAAAAAACTTGTGGGTTAAATACAAGGAGGGCTACTCCACCTATTGCCGATTGGTTTTAGGTTGGATGTAAGTTTTATGTTGAACCCACATGAAAGATTTTCAATACTTAGGAGCACACTATTGCATCCTTTATATCTATATAATATATTTAATGAAATTAATTTCTTTAAGTGTAAATTCAAAGTTTAAATTTTAAATTTTAAACTTATCTTATAAAATAATATTATTTACTAATTAATTCAACCATTTAGCTTAAATGCTTAATATATGAGTATAAGTCACATACTCATCTAATTTTACTCATCTACAAGTAAGTCTTCTGTTTGCTGACGAATATAAATCATTTATTTTTTTCGAACTTTACCAAAACTTGGATTACGGACACCATATTTTCGTCAAAAGTCTTTTTTCTTCGCTAACTTTACCCCACTGGACCTTCTTGACTTCTTCCTAAACTTTCCCAAAAGTACATTGAACCAGTTCTGCCGTTTAATTCTTGGTAAAAATCAACGTTTAGCCCCTCATTTTATAAATTTAGTAGGTTTTAACTTATTACTTTATAATATGACAATTTTAGCCGTTTATTTTACAAAGTTGGTAAGATTTAGCCTTTCATCTTACAAAGTTGGTAGGTTTTAACCCTTTACCTTCTATTATGATATTTTTAACCCCTCACGGATACGAATTAAAGAAAATAGGTCTCACATAATATCAGGTTATAACATTTTATTAGTTCTATTAGTTGATTGTTAATATCCGTTAACATTCTGTTATAAAAAATATAAAATTTAAATTCAATTTTATTTGTTAATTTTATTAACGGAATACTAATGGATGCTAACAGTAAATTAACAGAACTGACAGTCAGATAATAAAACTAATAGAATATTATAATATGATATTAAATTAAGGTTATTTTCTTCAATTCGTACAAATAATGGGCTAAAAGTGTCATAATATAAGATAAATGTTAAAACCTACCAATTTTGTAATATGAAGGGTTAAAACTTATAAATTTTGTAAATTAAAGAATTAAAAGTGTTATATTATAAAGTTATAAGTTAAAACCTATTAATTTTGCAAAATGAAAGGCTAAAATTGGTTTTAGCCATAATTCTTCGTAGACTAAACGCGGAACGATGCCATTCTTGGTAGGTAGACGAAACACTCTTAAATATGAACCTCTCAAAGAGCCCAAACTTACAAATCTTTCCCCTATTCATTTTCTAAATTAGACGGCTGTAAAGAGGTGAACTGGTGAAGGTGGTCAACAGGAACTCATAATTCTTAGCTAGGGCTCACCGCAGACCAATAGAAAGATTTTCTTTTCTTTTTTTTTTCAACAAAATAAAATATTTTTTTATTGTTTTGGAGTATATATATGGATTAACTCACCTTGCTGGCTTTCAGTCTGTTTCCCCCCGATTTTGTCCATTGTATTCTCGGATACAGCAGAGTAGTATTTCAACTCAGGATACCTGGTTTGTTCCCTCTGAACTTAGCTCCTTCTATCTATTGTTATTCTGTTGTCTTTGCTTGTTCTTGAAGTTGGAAGCTCTCTCCTAATGGCTCCTGCTGCTGTATCCTTGTTTCTTTTTCTGGTTCTCACTTCTCTTGAAAATCTTCACTCTGCTGGTGAAGAAGAGTGGTGGGATAAAAAGTGCCCGCCCTTTAAATGCGGTAATTTTACTGCACCTGGGTTCCCTTTCACTGATAAGGGACGCCCAGAGTGTGGGTTGTTTCTAATTGATGGGTGCAATGAAACAGTTCAGAAGATCCAACTGGAGAAGGGAGTAGGAAGATGGTATCCAGTTGAAGGAATATCCCAACTAGGGAACATCATTACCATTCATGACGATGTGCTTTTACTATCCCCTGATTGTGAATTCTCTGCCAATTTGCCTCTTTCCAACCTTAATTTTACCTCTTTCCATGTTCTTTCCAGAGTTGATATTCTCAGTTGTAGCAGAGGCCCTCCAAAAGATGCCATCCCAAAAAACTTCACTCTCAGTCCTAGAAGCTGCAACAACCGCAGTGTATACTATAGGATCCATAATAGATTAGATCCGGATACCAAATTAAATGTAGCTTCGAGTTGTTCTCTTATAATTGATTCCCCAATTAAAAACCTTTCACACTCCAATGACCTCTTTACACCATTGACTGCCAACTTATCTTTCAGTGTTGAATTCCATCCTGATCTTCTTTGTGTTGAATGTAGAGAAGTTGGCGAATGCCCAAGTGTTTGTACCAGAAACGGAAAAGGTAGGAGTATCAATATAAAGCCCACACCCCATAATTGTG